ATTCCAGTGGATGCGATCTACAACCTCTGAATTTGCCTAGTAACGATGAATTCGTCGAGAAAATGGTAATATTTTATGAGAAATAGTCTGTATTTCTCATTTTTTTAATTCTTTTGCGTAAAACTAAAATTAATGCCAATATTTTTCCATGATTTATAATAATTGGAGTAATGCAAATGAATATTTTCTAAAAAAAGTCAGTTTTTAGTGAAATTTTGCCGGGAATGGGGCTTTAATAAGGCCATATAGGGATAACTTATGGGGGCTTTCTGTGTGATATACTGAATTGTAATTTTTGTTTAGATGTTAATTTTTTGAATACTAATTTATTTTGACATTTGTAAGTTTTTCAAGTACAGTACTGTATATAACTTTTAAAAAGGAAATGTTTTAAACAAGTTGATGACTCATTTTTCTACCAATGATTACATACTCAGTACTTCACAGTAATGGAATTATGCAACTTCCTGATAACATACTGTACCATCTAGTAGCGCTTCTGGTTGATGATACAGTAATATTAATGCTCATTATCCATAAATTTGAGGGATAAATTTGAATTAACATTCATTAATTATCTTGTTTAGAAAATTACTTAGTAGCTGAGCTATATTTCCTCAACTTCACATGTTTCTACTGCTTAATGATGTTATTTTTTTGGCTAATCTAACCCATCTATGTTTTCTGTGTTGGTTGGCAATATCTGTACAAGTAACAGATTGTTGACGTTCTTTCTTGGACAGGTCTAGGCATGCATCATAAATTTGTAGGCTTACTTTTGGTAGAAAAATTATTAGTTTATCACTTTATCTACAGTAGGCTGGGAAAGGGAAGAGAGAGGGAAGTTTTGTTAATCTTTTATTTTGCTAAATCCAAATCACCCTTGGATTTTTGCTGGTGCATTGATATTCAATGTAAACTACATGATTGAGAGTTAAATATAAACAATATTTAGACTACTATTTACCGGGGAAAATTTTTTTTTAAAAAAACCCAATTTTTTAAATATTCAATTGCCTAGAACTATGTCAGATTCGAGGCACATAACAAACAATATATACCTAGCCTTTTACAATTACACTTTGAAAATGATAATAATAAGCACATTCCTTTCATGCGAGCCCAGTGAGAGAGCCATGATCTTTGACTTAATACTGAAACTACATTTTTGTTTCAGCTAGACACAATTGATTAAGGGTTTTTATTTAAATAGTTTGATGTTTCGAGTGCCAATGAAAAAGGTTTTTGAATTAAAGAATGAAACATGAATAATATAAGCCCACAATATCTTATTAACAGATTCAGTTCTAAAGAAAACCCACATAATACCAGATCTAAAGACAAACTTTATCTATGCAAACCTCGAACTGAATACAAAAAGAAAAGTTTCACCTATCATGGATCAAAATTATGGAATTCATTATCAGAAGAAGCAAAAAATGCTAAAGATTTAAAGAGTTTTAAAAATATTGTGTCAAACCTGACCAGTTTTGAAACCGCAGATTTTATTATTTCAAATTTGAAATTGTTTAAAAGTAGTATTTAGTTTCTAATTTTTACAGTTGGTAGGTTTTTACTTTTCCATGTTTGTTTTCCCTTTCTTTTATCATATCAGTAGTTAAATACACAGCCTCTTGGAAGACCAACCTTTGTAAAAAGATTGAAATGAGTATCAGTGGATAAATAAAGTTATTATTATTATTAAACATGAAAACATATTGACTGTACTATATGTTTAATGCATGATCACCCACCATTACCACAGCCTTGAATGTTTGTCCCTCATTGTTAAAATTTCTTCTAAATGCCTTTGAATCCTGTTCAATTATCCTGTTCACTATCTAACTACTGTTTTACAAGCCATAAAGCAATTGTACCAGTGGTGGTATAAGTTGTGCTAAAGAATGCATGAGTGATTCCTACTTGTCTGACCTTGACACTAGTTGATTAAACTTGTACTTATTTTTTTTTATGTTCCAAGATAAAGTCAAGTTATGTAAGAAAATGTTGAATAAAATTTACATTTAAATGGATCCTAATCCTACTGCATTTTATGTGGTGTGTTTTTTGCCTCTTGTAAATTATTACAATATTCTCTTCTGCATATACTGCCAAGATGGAATATCAGTCAATAGTATCTGGCTATGTTGATAATGATTACCTTAGGCATGAATCTCACATGTATTTCATTGTATCCTGAAATATGTGAATGTAAGGATATCATTGTTACAGTTTTTACTGATTTATAAACATGAATACTGTACTAATGAGAGAACCGAAGTACCATAGTGGTTGGTAACGTTGGGCACATATTGTACAGGCCCGTAAATTAGGAATTTCAATGGAGAGGTTCGGCTTGGGACTATGCGGAACTCCTTATCAAAACCCACATACTTCTTCTTCTCTCCCCTAAATGGGGACTTTATTCAGTGTGATAGGCCTCAGGCCCTTTTACAGTATAAATAAATATACATTTTTAGTGCTTTAAATGAAGCGTGACTTATCATAATTTTTTTGATTTTAACATAATAGTAACTTTTATTAGTAAACTCAATCAAATTCTCCAAGATTCATTTTAAATAGTTGGCCTGGGATCCCTAACTACATGTATGTAGTATTTTTGTTTTAGCCCGCTTTTGTAGGCCTACAGAATAAAACGGCAATGAAAAAATCTTCCTAATTTTCAAGGAACTCCATCTCCCGCAGAGGGGTTCGGACGAACGCCCCTAAAAACGGGCCTGCTTACTGCATCAGCAGGTATAACCATCGCCTGACAAATTTATCCTCGCCTCTCTCTGAGTGCTTGATGCCACTTATCGACTGTCTATGGCAATCTGAGTGGATCGTCAATAAAAATAATCTGTGACACATGCCTCATCGTCGTGTTGTGTTCACAGGGGATCACATTGGCCAAAGACTGTCAACGCAATCTGTACCCATCTTAAGAGAATGATTTTTTTCAACTTGGAATCTAAAAGAATGTTCAAGATATTGAATTTTTAATGTTATTAGCTTAACATAGACTCTATGTGGGTTTTCACCTTCGCTGTTGAAATATGTATTTTAAATATTTGTGTTATTTTATCTAAAGACAAGTTGTTATATATTTTTTTGTAGGTCAGACAGGACACCTTAAGTAGAATATGTGAAGATGGATGCTCACCTGGCCAGCAAGTAAATGAGGATTGCTGTAAAGGAAGTAAATGTACAGAAAGTGAATATTGTCAAGATTGTGTAGGTGAGTGGAACCAGTTCATATAGGGCTGTAGTGTTAGTTAAATTAAATGAACCAATTCATTTTTGCAGTCAGTTTAAACTTTTTCGGCAGACAAGATAAACGTTAAATAGACCTTATCACCCAACATGGATAAATAGCTCCATCAATTTTGTGAAATTTGTAAATCATGCTTGTTTAAATAAAACATTTTTAACATTTGTAGAAAACATAAAATTTGCCTTTATAAATATCTTCCTAAATGCCAATAAAAAATGGGAAGAGCTATTGAGATGCATGTTGGGTAATAAATTTAATGGTTACGCATCTGCTAAACAGTTGTGCTGCCAGCGTCTAAAATCAGGGTGGAGGGAGGGCAAGTGAGGGGCAAGCTAAAATTTTAAAGGAGGGGAAAACTTAGGGCCTACATGCTGCAGTCACTTGACTCTAGCATACAGTATATGTTACAAGCGGCATCATAAAGGCTTACAAGAAGTACGTCCAGCTTTGCTAATACCTTTAGTGATAAGCATACTAAAGGCAAAGCGATTGATATGATGGGCAGGGGAAAATGTGGGAAAAGGAAATTATCTAGGGTAAATGGTCCTCCTTTTCCATGTAGCGCTGTTACTACCGCCAAAAGTCCTCTTACTGTATAATAACACAGCTGACCGTGTTGTATTCCAACTTGTTTTATTCTATATTTACAGGTGAAACTTACTCACAAGGTGGGAGGCATGATATTTGCCAAAGTTGTACGATATGTCCGGCAAATGCAGATGAACTGAAGAAATGTACAAAAGAAAGGGATGCACAATGCCAGTGTATGCTGAACTACTTCAAGAGCCCTTCAGAACAGTGTCTGCATTGTAACACTTGTACTGGAGAAGCTTATTGTAAAGATGTCTGTAGTTCAACTCCACCACCAAACAACCCTAGTACAACTACAAACCAGCCTAGTAAAACTACTGGTAATTATAATTGAGTGACATAAAACTTAGTTTAAAGCAAGAAATATTAATTGTTTTCATGATTGTTGAGGCATACTGTACAGTAAATATCACTTTTTGTTAAATTAAGGGAACTATTCGCATGGATTCACGATTTTTATAAAGAAATAACACTAGTTTTGGCCATGATTGTTCATGTTTTCATTTGGAAATCACTTCAAGTGATACTTCACAGTGAGCACAGGTAATTTTGGCTTCTGTAAAGTATTATTTTGTTAAAACAGTAAAGTAATTTTTCTTGACAAAATTTTGCTCCCTTGACAAGCCCAGTACTAACATAGACCTAGTCCTACCCTCACTACACTGAGATGCTGTGAAACTTCAAACTATTTCAATTACGAATTTTCTCAACTACGAACTCTGTTCAGGCAGTGTACGTAATTGGGAGATGTTACTGTATTAACTTGCTGGTTACAATATTTTGATTTCTAGGGAACTGGGTTTCAATCCTACAAATACCTCTCTGAATCATGTTAAGAATCATAGAGTTAATCAAAGTTTGAGTGGCGGAGTGGTACGGCATGGGTGCCGCTAGCTAGAACCTTAACACCGGTGCTGGTTCCAGGCGCTCCTGCCCACGGTTCGTTTGGTAGAGCCAAGTCTTCTCAGATAAGGACTCAAAATGGAGGTCCATTGTAAACATCTGGCTCGTGTGTACTTTAAAGAACCCATTGCATCATTTGGAAGAGTAGGGGGTTACTACGATGTTGTGGTTCATAGCAACCCCTGTGATTGTGGAATGATGTGAACATGTAACTACCATGAAGCACCTTTTTACGGCTACTAGGTAGTCACGGACCACGCCAATACGCGATTCAGCACAATAACGCTGCAAGTTATGGGTTATTCTCCTACCCTTCACATGCTGTTGAAGGAGAATAAAATCAGATTCTACAGTAGTCTGTAAATGCCTGCATAAACCAACTAATTACTTATTCTTTTTAAATAAAATAAAATGTCGTCTCCTGGCGCCATGTAGAAACGTTTTTTGCATACTCATTCTAAAAAATAACATAAATTTTTAATAAATGTTTCAATATGATTAAACTTTGGAAATATAAATTCAGATATACGGAAGTCAAGTGTATATTATTATGTACTGTATCTTTTGTTTGTTTTTCTATTTTTTTACTACAGGCACTGGTGTTAGAACGATTACCCCACCTACCTCAGTTACCCCAACAAGTTTAGGGATGATAACATCATCATCAAGTGTCTTCTCGACGGCAGTTCTACAGGTCGATCCCGAGACAAAACGTTGTATTGAAAAGCTTGAATGCATAATTCCTGTTATTATAGGTATGGATGTTTAAAACTCATATTGCTGAAAGTCTCTGTTCTTGTACATGTTATATTTTTATTTGGATATGATTTATGTTATATTTATAAAATTACATAAAAAAATATCAGTTTTTAAAAAACAATATCACAAAAATGTAATAAAAACACAACTAATATGTCCTCTACTCACTGGAAGAAAATGGTGTACAATTTGCCTTCAGGTGTTCTCAAATTTATGTTTAATTCATTTGGGGACACTCTGAATACCAGAGTTAACCTTCAACATTGGGGATTTAAAGTATCGAAGAAATGCAAGGCCTGTGGTAATCGTGAGACCCTCCATCATGTCCTCAATTTTTGCAAGCGCTCCCTGGATTAGGGCCGCCTTACGTGGAGGCACAATAATATTCTTAAATTTATAGCCGATTCCACTAAGGAAGGGGTTAAAGGCCAACCTCGTCCTCCGATTGTTAATTGTGACCTTGTCCCCGGAACCCAGGATGCCCCTCATTCCACCACTGTGCCCTCACAGTTTACCATCCCTAATTTGATTCCTGAATTTTGTATGCTCTGGCCCGACTCTTCATCATATAACTCACCGTTCCATTTGAGTCGGGCATTGCTAACGCCCACACATTCAAAACTAATAAATATGCACCATTGGTTTCAGACATCTTCTGCTCTGGGTTCAAGGTCGACTTTGTTGCTCTGGAGGTAGGTTCTAGGGGGTTCATCTCTGACGACAACAATAAACACCTTAAAACTATCCATAAATCTATTAATTATCCAATACAGTATCATTTTAGCCTTTTAAAGACAAAATTTCAAAAATTGCCTTAGTTTCATCTTATAGCATTTATTACGCCACAGATGAACCCACCCGCCTCTATTCAACATCTTGATTCGCTATTTCACTGCTTTTTGGGAACGTCTGGTCCTCGACGCTGAACTGTCTTATTGTTTTTTTTCCTCGTGTTTCTTTGTTTTTGATGTCCGAATTTGTTTGTGATGTTCTTGTCTTGTGGTACCCCTGAGTGTTTTTTTAATTCGACAAGTCTGGGGTTTTTCATTTCCTTTTATTCACTCCATTTCATATGAATTTTTATGTGTATATATATTTTTGATGAATAAAGTGATATAGAAAAAAAATTAATGAATTGGAAACCATAAGTATTGTAAGTTTTGTACTTGTAAGGATTTTTATGGTTTTTAAACGTTTGGTCTATTGTTTGTATTTATCCAGAGTCCAACGGTTGATTGACTTTGTGTATAGTACTTTTCAATGTCAGCTCACGTTATCTCACAGTTTATATATCAAGGAATACTGTAAATTCTGTGGTTGTGATCACTGATTATAAATAGGAAAAAATGTACAATTTGAATGTACAACACTGCAGATAGATGAAGCTAAGTGGTTTCTGCTTCATTTACCTGCAGTTTTCGGAAAACAACACATGATATGCCTCCACCTTTAAACTTGCTGTTGAGGCTAATGAATCTCACTAAGTGCTAAGTAAAGATTTTTTGCATTTTACTTTGACTGTTTCCAATAATAAATAAATGTATATTTTGTTCCAATTATATTTACTTAAAATAAAAACCCCTATTTTGTAATGGTTTCTTCCATATGTTTCAAAACACTGTTTCGATGAAGCAAAGCCTTCAACACCGTCATGCAAAGGCAATTCTGAATGACAAGCGATTAAACTTATTGTGAAGTTTCTTTTTATTTTTTTATTTTTTGACTCACAGTAAATGCACACATCTGTGGGTAGGATTTGGGTGTGTGCTATTGCTACTAAATGTTGTTGATCAAAACATTTGACAGCGATTTTTTGTTTCTTTTCTCTAGTGGTAATACTTGTTATTCTTATTATTACTATCATATCATGGTCGTATTGCCTGTCTCAGGAGTGCAAGGAATTCTTGGCAGGTTGCTTTCCTTGTTGTCATGGTAAGATGCTTTAGTAGTCCTTTACAGTTTTGTGACCAGGATTGTTGGTTCACATGGACCAAGCTCTCTTGCAATTCGAGTTCGATTTGAAAATAGGTAGAAAGATACACATGCTGGTTTAGAAATGGAATGGGGTAAAATATAAGATAATATAAAGATATGATAAAAATATAATATAAACAGTAATGTAAAATAAAAGTATAATAAATATATGATATGAAAACATATGTTTGATTTTATTTCAATAATTGAATAGGATACCAAACATAAAGTTGAAAAAAAAAAATTATAATGAAAATTATACTAGTAAAAAAAAGTATAATTGTATTATAAAATTATAAATTGTATTATATAAGATAAAATATAGTAAAACATATTTATTTATTCATTGATGGATACCATATTCTCATTGATTGCATAATAGAATATTCTGCCAATCAGAATGTTTGTGCTTCTACCCTACAGGGCCCCTAGCTCTCCGTCCCCCTCCCATTGACACCACCCCGGAATAAAGGACTATGAAAGAGATATATTATTGGTTTCTTTTGTTCTAACAAGACACATGTTGTTTTATTATTTTTTTTATTTTTTATAACAGGGTTTCGTAGTTTTGAGGGCTCATCACCAAGAAGTAAGTTCATAAATTTGTAATATTATAATAAGAGTAGGAACACAAGATGTTGTTTTCGGATCAAGCATAACCCTTTAATGAAAAGTCCCTTTTTCATTTGTATAAAAAATGTCTCTGGTGGGATTCAAGCTTGCAACCTCTAGTTGACAAGGTGAGTGTCATACTTGCAGTTTGAAGTCCTCTAAAGAGGCACATAGTAGTAGACCTACCGAAGGCCAATGCATTAAATATGGGCACTTGTCTATAATGAAGTTTAAAGCTTAAAGCAGTTGTGGTTCTTATAACATATATACAGTAACATCCCCCAATTACGAACCTCCCAATTACGAATTCTCGATTTTACGAACCAAATTTGCAGCGATGACGTCATTACGAACGATCGTTTTTAACTACAAAAACATTTTAAAATGTATTTAAAAGTTTTAAGAAATTATTTAAATTATTTCAAGAGAGAAAACATTCAAACCAATAAATGATATAAAAGTAAGTTTAAAGCAAGAAATATCAATCATTTTCGTCTGAGATATATTATATTTGAGCTGTGCATGCTTGTTCAGGCATACTGTACAATAAATCTCACTTTTTGATCATTGGTGGCACTATTTACATGGATTCGCAATCTTTGTGAAAAGGATAATAACACTCGTTTCGGAAATTTATGATCATATTTTCATTCAGAAATCACTTCAAATGAATACTTCACAGTAAGCACAGGTAGTTTTGACTTCCTGTACAGTGTAAAGTATTATTTTGTAATACAGAAAACAGTAAAATCCAAGTCATATGTTGTTCCAAAATGTTTCTCCCATAGCACGGCTTAGGCCTACCTAGCTCTGTACTGTAAGATAATAGGCCTAGGCCTATCCTCACCACACTGAGATGCTGAAAATTCAAACTTTCTGAATTACGAAATCTTCTCATTTACGAACCCTGTTCGGACGGAGGGGTATGTAATTGGGAGATGTTACTGTATATGTATATATATATATATATATATATCTTTTGAATGATTTTCTTTTATTTAACTAGTAGAAACTTGTTGCTAACCTGCAACATTTCAGATGCGCTTCGACTATCCTTTCTCAAGCATTGATTCTAATGCTGGTCAACACCGCTATATACGCGGTGTAGTACGTTAAAACTGGGGGTAAGGGGCGTAACTGCACATTTTCCCCCATATTTTAAATATTCAAAAATCTGTACCTTATTCACCGTTCCCCAGTTTTTTGTTAAACAGCTTTTTTCTGACCTAGAAAAATCAGTTCTGACTTTTAAAAAAATACATAATAAATATTGTAGTTTTGACACATATGTGTAACTTTGTCATTATCACTTCAAACCAGATACCAATGGAAATGGTGAAGTTTCAAGAACAAATGGGGAAAACGTTCCTTTGAAGAGTATGTTGCTTTGTTTATTTTGTAAAGCCAATAAATACCCTATTTAATTTTGATTTAGAAAATGGGTTTAACTTGGAATTAAGGGCATACAGTAAAACCTCGAATTGAAACCCAGTGGGCTTTATCTTAAGATGAAGCCCATCTTGAATTGAAGCCCCTTTTTTAGTTTGCAAAATTAGCCTCAAAAAGACGCCCATCTCAAAAAGAAGCCCATGGGTTTCTTTACAAGAAAGCATACAGGCTTCTTTTTAATATACTACAGTACAAACACTGTACATGAATTTTGGAAAACAGAATACATTAAAAGCAAGTTTAGTGCCTCCTTTACTTTGCAAAAGTAGCCTTGAAAAGAAGCCCATCCAAAGATCCTCTCCCCCCCCCCCCTAAAAAAAATGAAGCCCAGGGCTTCAGTTTAAGGGTTTACAGTAAATTGCATCTTAATCCATACTTTTTAAAAATTAAGTTTATGAAGACCAATGTTTACTTTAAATAATTGCTGTTACAATTCTTGACTATAAGGTGGTTAAATTTTTAAAGATTTGTTGTAATATCTGTAATTATGGTGAAACTATTGGCAATATTAGATTCGGAATAAATGAGGGCGATCAGATTAAAGTACCTACTTTCTGCTATTGGTGATCATTTCAAATCTCCAACCACAGTTAGTCACTATTAGTGATAACTCCACCACCATAACCTGCAATTTTCTTAATTTAATACATTTTATTGTTTTGTGCTTTTTGTCTATTTTTAAAATTCTAATTAGTCTCTATATTATTGTGCATAAGATACTGTTAAATATATGTCTTTAATTTTATTCTTGTTAAGCTTGGTTTCCATCCAATCGCTACCCACTATCGCTGACAGCTGTCGGTGATGCTCATTGGTCAGTTGAATGGGGGGGGGGCCTTCCCGATTGCAACGATACACTTAGTGACAGTGTAGCGATTTTAAGGAAACAGGCTTGTATTGCTGCTATGTACATTGCATTACAATCCAGTGGTGCAACATGGATGGTAAATGTATAATCGCTGTTGGTAGTATATTAAAAATCTTAAAAAACTTAACTGCTTCTTTTCCCTCCTTGATATTGTAACCCTAGTTTGTTGAAGTATTTCTTTAAGAAATTTGCTAATAACAAACATGGGCGTATTGCATGCTAATGCATTATGTCGGCCAGAATTGCTTTTTTTTAATGTATTTTTTAGGTAACATATAGAAATCTGTGTTAATATCTGCTGTCGGTGGTTATAGTGTCTGAAATCATTAAGAGTCGGATCACTAAAAAGGAGTTTGTAGGAATAGTGGCTTTTAACATATAGGTGCAAATTCAAACCAATCACCATTTTGACACTAAATTCTAAAATTTCAGTTCATATCAATTAATGACAATGTACTGATATAAGAAAATAAAATACAAATGACTCGCCAGATTTGTTTAATGACATTGGGGGTGCTATATATTGGCAACCAAAGTTTAGACTTTGATTTTACTGAATTTGCAGGGGATAAGTGAATTTCCGGGAGATTTTGGCTTGTTTGTGGGAGTGCAGGATACCATACAGATTTCCGGGCGACTCCTGGGTGTTCCGGGAAGCTTGAGATCCCTATCATACATGTATTTACAGGTATGCAGTATTTATAAAATACCATTATAATTGTTTAAAAATGATATTAAAATTTAATTATTGTTTAATTTCAGTCATTGCGTCTAATCAACATAATCCTGATGAAGCTAAGCCCTTAATGCGTCATCCAGACAGCAATAAATCTGACGCTGAGAGAAGAGACCTGAAAGATGATAGTCTGAAATTAACATTTAGGACTTCAAGAAGACGCAGATCTAGTCTTCAAGTGGTTCCTGAGCATGGTTTTCTTTCTGCTGTATCCAATGTGAAGTTTGTCTTGCCTGACTGGTGCTCCAGTAAGTTGTTTGTTTTGAGATAAAAAGGAAGATAAACTAAAGATGCCTTTGGGTTAATACACAATAGAATGTTGTTATTATTATTAATAAGCTTATACCTAGGGATTCCTGTGTGCATGAACAGAACCAAAATGACGTCCATTTTTGCAAAGTGGCAAATGCCTTGATCAATTGCCCTACGTACGATTCAGTGGCCTATTTGAAAGAATATTCCGGTGAAGAAATCAGAGTTTACTCAAGAACCAAAGGGAAGGGAACTTTGTAATTGTAGTTGGCAGCTTGTGGTCTTACCATGGCCTTTGCCTAAACTAACTTTCTTGATGTCATAGTTCAGACCGCACACTTGTAGTGCGTGATGTAATAAGTTATTTTTAGCAGCGAATCTCTGCGGAGCATGCGAGGCTTCACGCTGTGAACTAAGATCTGATCAGCCACTGGGTTTGTCTCTTTAGGGACGTTGTCTATTTTTAGCTGCAGCTCTGAAACAAGTGAATCTTCAGGCTGTGAATTAAAGATCCAATCAGCTCATGGGGCGGGTCGTCCAAATTCAGAGCCAAATTTCTTTATTTTTTTTTAGCATTTGTTAAGTTTACCCATCTAGGCCTAGTTCTAGCTAGGCCTACTCACTCAAATTATACCCTGGGACTCTGCCTGGGGAAATTCTTGTACGCGAAGTTGTGAGTAAAGTCGGGGGTGGGATTATATATATTATGATAATAATAATAAAAATAATAATAATAATAGCTTGAAGTTGATAATAGAATGGAGAAAAATATCTGGGGGATTCAGAGGTGATTAAAGAGTTTGAAGCTTATTTATAGGCTAGGGAATGTGAATGGCAAATACACATACATCCATAAATCACAGATTCTGACAGTCATACAAATGACTAATCAATCCTTGCATTTTATTATTTGGGTCTTGGAGATCCCTCAAAATGAATAAAATGAATGTATCTCATTGATATGTTTTACTTTTCTGTCATATATAAAAGATTAGTAATTATTAAAATATAAAGATGTTAATGGAAGAACTATTAATTTGGTACAATACCTCTCCAAAAATATAGAAGCGGTTGGCACATTGGATGTGGCTTGGACTCCCAACCTTGAAGTCAGGGGTTCGCCACAATGTTGCTTGTGTCCTTGGGCAATGCAATTATCTATGGTTGTCTCTCTCCACCCAGGAGTACAAGTGGTCTCTTATACACATCTAGATGTGTATAAGAGACAGCATATATTTAGTAATAACCTCTCCTGTTTGAAATTGCCCCACGTGGGATAAATAAAGAATTTTTGAATTTGAATTTGAATAACAATAATCACTATCAATGAAAGAATCTAAATTTGGACGCTGCAACGAAAATTTTTTGCATGTGATCGGAATATAGGCTCCGCTAAACATATTCAAAGCCAACCCTAAAGCTGTTTTTCTCATCAGTAGCACAGAGAGAGAGCCTAAAGTACCGACAGCAAAGAGATGGTACATTTTTTATTGTTCATATTAACAACTAGGTCATAATGCACAGATTTTGTGTTTGATTAAAGAACAACAAACAAAGCATGATAAAAAAAATGCTAGCCTTAAAAACAGAGCCATCACATGCCTTCCACAATTAATGAC